GCGTGCAGCAGGAAGATGCCCACGATGATGGTGAGGAAGCCGCTCAGTGTGCCGATGATGTCGTCGGCGCCCATGTGGCCCCACTCCTTGAACAGGATGGCGGAGCAGGTGAGCACGGACGTGGTGAAGAACACGTAGTAGATGGGCGTCACCAGCGAGGTGTTGAATATGTCCAGGGCCTTGTTCAGGTAGTTGATCTGCGTGCTCACGCAGGCCACCAGGCCCAGGAGCAGGATCCACGCCAGCGGGTTCCTCGCCACGCTCTTACCGGCGATCGCCTCCTTGATGGCGATGCCCAGCCCTTTGACGCAGGACACCGACAGGGCGCCGATCACTGAGCAGATGGTGATGTAGACAAGGATGTTGGTCTGACCGTGACGGGGACCCACGACGAAGATGAAGATCAGCGCCACGATGATCACGAGGGTGGCGAAGACGAAAAACCCTGAGAGAGAAAAGAGGGAGTGAAGGGTTCACTCATTTCATATCTCAATCTAAGATTAACAACGGCTCGTCTTCGATGGTTTGAAGTGTGGTTGTATTCTATGAATTCTTATTCATCGTCTGTTTATTACTTACAGGAAACAAACACTACTGTCTCTTTAAATCATGCACAGCAGGCTTCATTCTAACATGTTATGAAGCGTGATTCAGAGGTAAACTTTGGTGAAACACTGATTGGTTCCGTACCCGGGTCCACCAGCTTCTTGGCCATGTGGTCCAGGCTGCTGATCTCCTCCTCCTGAGGAGCGTGGATCACCATGGTGGTGGAGCCCAGGATGCTGAGCAGACAGCCCAGCTTCCCGTGCAGGTTCAAGCGCTCCGTCAGGAAGTAGGAGGACAGCACGGCGCTGCAGAGACGCGTTCACAGGAAGTTAGAAGTTATTCAAATGAAGTTGGTTAGTTAGAAGAGGTGCAGCGAGTCGTCCGTACCTGACCAGCACGCTGAGCGCTCCCAGTGGGGTCACCAGGGTCGCTGGAGCAAAGGCGTAGGCTGCGAAGTTGGCTGCTTCACCCGCTCCCACTATCAGGATTAAGACTTATGAAGTTAGACTCATGGTAGAGGTAAACACTGTCTGAAGCTGAAGTGTGCTGCAACAGCACTCAGTAAAGGTGCTCCAGTGTACACATGGGTTTGGTTCTTTGCAGGTCAAAAGAAATCCAGGAGTCTGAAAGTTTCTGATATGGTTTAACAGCGTCTTAAATAATAGTTTAGATACTAAAACACAACAAGTTACATAATGTTATATTATAAAAGGTATTCACTAGATTACTTACTTGATAGTAAACCAGCCCACCAGAGCCACTCCTTCAGATATGCATGACCACCCTGACCTGAAGAAAACACCCGAGTTATGAAAACGTCAGGAAGCTGCAGGCCAAGTGAGCAAACATTTACCATCATAAACAAAAAGCATCAAAGTGTAAACTTCTAAAAGAAATAAAAACAGAAAGCCTTCCTTTTACAAATGAAATGAATGAAAGTGGAAGTAAAGCATTCAAGTGAGTTAAGATGAAGAAGAACCGGGCCGGGCAGCTGTGTCGTGCTTTACCTGCCCGCATGGAGCCCTTCCTGGCCAGCCGCAGGAGTCCTTTCTTCTTGAGGATGAAACTTCCTCCGATGAAGATGCTGGAGCTGACGGCCAACCCCAGACCGACGTAGAAGTCGTACTTGCCCCGGTCCTCACCCATAGTGAGGCTGGATGTGTCGTTGCGGTGGTCCGTCACATTTACCAGCGAACAGCGATGATCACCGACGGTACAGTTCTGACCCGACACCTGAGAAACACACAGACTGCTGAGGAATGAGTGAGTCTCAGTCTGGCTTTGGTTCATTAACACAGAACATTGTGCAACTCTGCAGCTCGGTCAACATTACATGTGAAGACAGAAGAATTGAGGGTGTGACGCTCCACTGAGGTTTATGTGACGGAACTACAATCAACCAGTTTACGAGCAGTTCACAGAGAAACCGAAGGAACTTGAAAACTGGGACAGACGGACAGAATGTATTAAAATAACTCTTAATAATACAATTAAAATCAAGATATAAAGTGAAAATATAAGGCAACATAAGACGGATAATACCACGCACTCTATAAGAACATAAAAATACATAAAATGAAAATATAATGAATAAAACGCAAAATTTAAGATGGAAAATATGACTCACAAGACGGTAAAATAAAAAACAAGATCGAAATGAAAATATAATGAATAAAATTCATAACGTAAAATGGAAAATAACAGCCACTTGATAATAAAATAAAGATAAGATCAAAAATAAAATATAATAAATAAAACGTATAACTTAAAATAAAAATAAATTTGATGAGAACATTAAATTAAGTAATATAATGAATAAAATGAATAACGTACGGTGGAAAATAACAGCCACTTGATAATAAAATACAAATTAATTTAAAAATATGCTTAAAACTCATAACACAAGAAAGCGTCTCAGGCCTGAATCATAAACGTCACAGCTCGTTCAAAGCTAACGTGAAGTTTATACGCTTCCTTTGTAGCTTAGCTCCAGAAGCTACATGGGTAATGACTTCCGTAGCCTTGGGGCGTAATTTACAAAGCTGCTGGGAACCTCCAATAAACCAGCAGCAGACTCCCCGTTTGTTAACTACCCGTCTATTACATGTCACTACATTATCACCCAGTGAAATCAGCACCATGGCGGCACCACTGCGTTACATTTTAATCAGTTTAACGGCATTTAAATGCGAGGATATCTCTCGTTAGCTTGCATTAGCGTGACGGCTAGCTGGCTGGCAGGCTAGCTAGCTAAAGTCAGTTAGCGTTAAAACACGAATAATGCGGATATCCGGTTTGCTTGCTAGGTTTTGAGAAGAAGTCTTAATAGGGAGTTTTAATACCTGTTCAAAAGGGTGGCGGTCGGTTTACCCAACGAGAACTAACGTGTTAGCAGCTGGCGGTGAGCTAATAGCTAGCCTACTTCCGGGTTCTAATAGCTAGCCTACTTCCGGGTTCTGTGGCTAACCGTCGCATAGCTACCCGCGAGCTTCTTCTTCACGACTGCCGCACTGCGAGCTTCTTCTTCTGCTTATCAAAAGGAGCTGTGACCGCTGAACTGTGGGAGTCCTCCAGCAGGTTGAAGTCCACAAACCACAGAGGTAGTAACACACCGGAAGTGGAGACAAAGTCGAGTCTTTATCGTGTTTATTGTTTTATTGTAGTCATTCTACACTTTACGTTGTCTTAAAGTACAACTCAGCATGATTTCATATCCGTGTTTATTTATTGTTATAGTATTTATAATACAAACTATAACGTCAGAACGACCGAAATGAGTGGGAAATTAAACTCATTAATGTATTGATGTACATTAAATTAATGTAATTTTTATTTATTTTTGTATTTTTTATGTTATTTTGTTTTTCAAACCACATTTAAAAAACGTGGAACAGTGGACCAGCTCTTTACCCTCGCTAGACTACTGGAGGCGTGAAGCGACGTCTGTTTCTGATGACGGAGGATCAGCTGATCACAGCTGATCAGCTGTCAGTCGGCTTTAACAGCTGGAGAGACTTTTGATAAGTTTGTGTGTTCACATGATCACTGTACTTAATAACAGTAACTAATAACACTAATAACTAATAAAGACACACAGTAATCACCACTGTACTTAATAACAGTAACTAATAACACTAATAACTCATAAAGACACAGTGATCACCACTGTAGAGGTGTTTCTCTCTGTAGTCTGTTAAACTGTGTCCTGTGTTCTGTTTATAAGCACAGGATCCATTTCTACCGGCGGAATGCGATCGTCTTATTTATGAATTATTTGCGTCTGTACGTTTTGAAATTCAGATTGTGACGTCGATATTAAATAATATTAATTTTAGTTAATGTACGTTTTATTTATTTATTTTTAATTATTTATATATATATGGCATATATATATACATTTAAAAATGTTATTTATAGAATTCATTTATTTTTTAACGTTTACATTTTTTTTTATTTAAAAAATAATAATTCAAACCACATTTAAAATTAAAAAATAAACTTTTTATTTTATTTTATTAATTTAAATTATTGTACGTTTTTCTAAATGAAGTGAAGAAATCGTTTATTGTAAGTGAACTATGTAACTAGTTTTATTAAGTTTAACGTTTAAATCAAGCTTATCAAAGAAAGGAGTTATATGGCTTGTAAGTAATATTGAACATATTACTATCTTACTTTTTTGACATGTGCAATATTTGATATTATTAATTTATTAACGATTTAATTTTCGTTAATTTACTTCTTATTTTTCTGCTTTTATAGTTATTATATTTTGCACTTAGGGTTGGTATTACTTGTATACACTTTGTATTTAATTTAATTTAATTTTGCGTTTTATTTGTATGTTTTAATCTCTGGCTCAATCGTTTTCTTTATGATTTGGTTTGTCATTATTAAACAATAAAGAAAGTCTGTAAACATGTTCATAATGTAGATCAATAATCTAAATCACATGACTGACACGTTGGACAGATTCATACCCAGATAAGATAAGATGAGTTTAAGCTCGTCCGTGAGTCTTGGTTAAACTTCTGAAGTTACTCAATGATTGAGAAACACTGAAGAAGTCAAAGTGAGTCTGATTCTGCTGAAAGGACAGAAACACAATTATTAACCAGCGAACAATGTGTTTAAGCCTCTTTGCAGCTTTTAACAATATATAAATATGTGAAGTTCCCTCAGTGTTCTCTTTAACATCTATGAGAAGTGACGATCAGAGTTTAATTCATGATTATTTATTAAATTAAAGACAGAATGATTAAAGAATAAAAAGGTTTTATTTTTGGTGATATTCTTGAGTTACACAGTAACTAAGAAATGTTCCATAAGAAACTGAAAGCATTCAAGTCAAATGTTCAGTGAAACAAGGTGACTTTATTAATATTATGAATATTATTGTTATGATTATTATGCATGTATTCATATTACCGTAATTATTATACTTATATATATCATTTGCTCAGTCTTTCGGCCCTTTGCACCAATAAAGAATGCCTGAAGATAAACACATGAAATAAGTTATTAAACACACAGTTTGCTCATTTAAACTGCTGTTTGGAGACATGAGGTATAAACCTGTTCTGATAAAAGTCAGTGTGTAAACATGAAGTCCTCTTCATCAGTGCGTCTTCTTCTTGGTCCTCCATGTGATGGAAGCCTCCTGAGAGATGCGCAGCAACACGACGGCGACGCTCACCGTGGTCAGACCGCTCAGCATGGCCACGCCGTCGGCCGCCGTCAGCGCCGTCCACTCCCTGAAGAGCAGCGCCGAGGACACGATCACGCTGCATGTGAACGCCACGTAGTACACGGCATCGAACACGTTGGAGCTGAAGCTCTGCAGGGCCTTGTTGATGAAGAAGAACTGGAGGAGGACGCTGACGGCCAGCGTCACCAGTAAACCCAGGAACAGAGGCAGAGCTCCGGTGCCGCTGCTCCCCGGGTCGGACCCGAACACGTCCGGCGCCACCAGGCCGAGTCCTTTGCTGCTGGGGACGGTGAAGCTGCCCAAGAGGGAGCATATGGCCACGTAGACCAGGATGTTGGAGGATCCGTGAGCCGGAGCGATCCACACGATCAGGACCACTAGCAGCAGGACCACCAGGAGGGCGTACGCCACAAACACTGCAGGAGGAAGATAGATAGACAGACAGTTACTTTATTAAATTACTTCATGTTGGATTTATTCAGAAATCAGAACCAGAAATGGTTTATCGCCAAGTTTGCACAAGCAGTGAAATTGACTGATTGGTGCGTGAGAATAAACAGAGTGCAATAGTGTAAAACATCGTTTAAAGTAAAAAATATGAAGATTTACAATATAATATGATAAGAAACAATATAAGAGCATGTTTAAAATCAATAATATTTCATAAAAAGTGAAGTAAAAGAGTCGTGTTCCTCCTCTATAACAGTCACCTGGGTCTGACAGCCTGTCCTCCAGCTCCAGTCTGGATGTCACAGCCTGGGCTTTAGGGGCGTGAATGATGAGCACCACGGAGCCACAGCAGCACAACACACAGCCGAGCTTCCCCACCATGTTCAAATGCTCCCTGAGGATCAGAGACGCCAGCACGGCCCTGCAGCACAACAACAGGGAGGCTATGATGGAGTCCTGAGAGGAGCTCAGGTCTGGTGCTAAGTATAGATGTGAAATATTACAGTGTCTCTATGAGAGTAAAGCATTTCATTATGGCTTCATGTCACATACATACATAGACCAGAACGACTCTCAGCACCACAATATTTAAAGTCACTATGAGGAACTTTAACTTTGTGTTGGTTCTGTCGCCCCCTGTGGACTAAAGTGGTAGTGTCTCTGAGCACCAGACTCCCTGTAGAAAACCTCTCATTCTACTGCAGCAGGGTCTGACAGTCTGACCCTCTCAGTCCTGGTTCTGGTTCTCCCGTGCCTCCCTTCCCTCGAGCGGGTCACTGCTGGAGTCTGAGCTGAAGGAGGTTCTGGTGAACCTGCATGAGTTCATCTGGTTTCACCAGAATCCGACCCGTGGCTCCGATGACGAGCATCAAGAATAACTCTACAGAAACAGACCATCTTCTCTCTGATGGTCTCTTTACTGATGGAGGTCTGATAGAGGATCAGGACTGGACTGAGACTGGTTCATATAGAGACTCACCCAAACAACACTCCGAGGGCTCCTAGTGGGGTGACGATCACAGCGGGGGCCACGTTGTACGCCAGGAAATTCCCAATTTGACCAACGATCACTGATGAGGTCATTAACAGGTGAGTCACGATGTGTTCTGGTGTTAGTGAGGGGAGGCCTCATGTGCAGTCTAGTTATTACTGGAAATGTTCAAACGAACACTTACATTTAATTTCGACTTCAAGTTTTAGATATCTGGAAACACATGTTCTACCTCTGACCAATAAGAATACAGTCTGACTGTCGGAGAAATGTTTGAAGGATATTTAAAATATGACTGTTAACCATTTCTGTTTTAAAATGGTGTCCAATGCAACGACAAATGCATTGTGGGTATCTGTAATGACATTTTAACTATTTATTTTATATTTTCATTCTAATCTGAAATAAGAGTTTTTCCTCATAACAATTATATTGTAGATATCCAGAATGATTATTTTAGAAAAAATCAATTGTAGATCTTTGAAATGTTTTTTTTTGGACAAAGTGTTGTATTCCAGACATCTTTAATATACTTCATAATAGTATATATCCAGTCCAGCTATTAAATACTAATCAACCTGCCAAACCCTCCAGAGTCGATAGGTGGCGCTGTACTCACTGGACAGTGTGCCGCTCCACCACACCCCGTCTGTGAGGTAAGAGGCTCCTACAGGAAACACAGCAGGTTCAGTCTGTGAGTGATTCCATATATATTATATTATATATATAGTTGTATATATATATATAAATATATGTATAAATATGGGGAATATATATATAAGTCAATGTAATAAAACCAACAGGGATAAATAATAATCATAAAAACAATGATTCACTTTTAAAAACTAAGGCATTACTCCAAAATAAAAGTAAATAGTATAAAATAAACAGGGATCAATAAAATAATAATTGTAATAATAATGTAAAAAACAATGATTAACGCTTAAAAACCAATGTAAATCTCCACAATAAAAGTCAGAAGCATAAAATAAAATAAACAATAGGGATAAATAATATTATTATTGTTTATCCCTTTATTTTATTCTATTGACCTTTATTTTGGAGTAATACCTTAGTTATTAAAAGTTAATATTTTATATTAAATGATCAACTTTTAATAACTCAGGCATTACTCCAAAATAGAAGTCAAAAGAATAAAATCAACAACAGGGATAAATAATAATAATAATATAATAATAATTTTAAACCAACACTTAACTAAGGCATTACTTCAAAATAAAAGCCAGATCTAAAGGAGAGGTATGTTATTCAATATCCAGAGGCAGTAAGTTCTGCAGTTTGGGGACAATAAAAACAGAATAATAATTTTATGGGACACATAAGAACTTCAGAATAAAAGCGGAGGAGCTTAGTCATGTGACCGGAACAGAAAATGTCTACCTCTGTCGCGCGACCGTAATATTCCCTTTTTCTGAAGCACAAAAGTGGAGCCGTTGATGAAACTTGACACCACCGCTATCACTATTCCACTAACCGGAAACGAAACACTGCTCGGTTCAGACTCGGTCGCCATTTTTCACTGTTAGCTGTTTCTTTAGTTAAGTTTGACAGAAGAATGACTGAACAGTCCACTGTCCAGTTTCGTAGTTTGGACTGGGAAGTGGGACACTGCGCATGCGCGGTTCAAGAAGTACCAGGCTGCACCATGGTAGATGGAGTCACTCGAACGAAACTGGCATAGTACGCATGCGTCAACAAAACTGTCTTTGAATCAGGTTTTCACATACAAGCGATTTGCTTTGGTGTATTAATGCATAGACATGACGCATAAATAAAGAATATAAGTAAAGTTAATTAAAATGTTTTTAAAAAGATACTATGAAAAGAATATATTGAGATCAACAGAGGTTCACAGAATTACGAATTTAAAAAGCGTTAAGATTTAATGACTTTAAAATGTTAATAACACAATAAATTCGAAATAGAAATCAAAATCAGATTGAGAATCAGAATATAGAGAGCTATACATACTCTATAATTAAATAAACATCTAAAACTATATGAAATGTGTAACTCTGCATCTAAATATAACATCTGTAAAATAAAGACCACATTCCTGCGACACAGCGCCATCTAGCGGACGGTTTGTATTCACTCCGGGACAACCCCGCCCCTCCGATGTCCCGCCTCGAAATCCCAAAGAAGCGCTCCTTTTATAATCCAGGCCGGTACGAGCGGGCGAGAATAAAAACTAATCGGCGCTCACCTCGCTTCAAGAAACCCCGCCTCAGCGGGATACTGCGGTAAAAATCAATCGCACCCCAATCGCTCCCCCTGGTGACGACTACGTAGTTTGTTTCCATGCCTCGTGCCTCAGTCGGCGACCTGTCAATCAAGTCCATATTATGAACCGTCTTGTTTAATGCAGCAAAGCAGCTGAGCGGACGAGAATAAGCTCGAGAAGAGACCCCAGGTAATTTAGACATTCATCAGAAAATAATGTCATGTTTACCCCGGTTGTGTAGCTAAAGTCTCCGGTACGTCACGTCTCCGGTTGCCCGTTAATCGTTGCACGAAATGATGATGAGCTGGTGTGTAGCTTTTGCTAGCTGTCTAGGCTAGTAATGCTAGTTAGCTTTAGTCCCACAGCTAACGTGAACGGAGACTGTGCGGCTAAAGCTAGCCGTCTAGCAAGCGATGCTAGTTAGCCCTAGCCGCACAGCTAACGGAGACTGTGCCCTTGCTAGCATTGAATGCTACTCGTGCTAGCATTGAATGCTACTCGTGCTAGCATTGAATGCTACTCGTTTTTTCTCATGTATGTAATAACGTTAACTATATTTGTGGATAACGTTATTACATCTTTTAGACCTTGAAAGTCGTGCAAGTGAATTATAAGCTATAACGCAAAGGTGACGTCACAGTTGTGCGCGTTACATTAGTATTTGATATAAATTGCAGGTACTTGGAAGTACTTGATACAAGATTGATTCAGATAAAGTATGCAGCATTTTGGTAACATTCCTTTAATTAAAATGTAGATGTGTAACGTTAACATGTCTGGTAGTTGGGTTGTGAATTATATGATATATATATATATATTTGTGTGTGTGTATATGTGTATGTATGTGTATATGTGTATATGTGTGTGTATATGTGTATGTATATATATTTGTGTATATGTGTATGTATATATATTTGTGTATATGTGT